CAAATTCAGTGACCGGCCAACCTGAAAATAAAATATACAGGACACCATAAATTAGAAAACTGGCTGCTCATGCAATCGTATTTATAATCAACGATAGTTGAATTGTTATCAGAACATTTTAATGTAATTTATTTTAATTTCCGCCTTTTTTTCATGACTAGAAATTCGAACCGGTTTACCTAAAAAATAAAATAAAAAGGATTTTGCACAATTTGAATATCAACAGAATTTTAAAATCTAATAAATTGTTCATAAGGTTTTAAAACAACGCTAGTCTAATAAGTTTTTCAAACCACTGCAATTAAACGTTTCGGTATAAATGTATTTGTACAGATTTCTGTATAAGTTATTAAAATATTCCTTAAATCTAGTTCTTGCAAACCTTAAGATTCCCCTCGAGAGGCTAGTGAAAATAAAAACATGAACATTTTGCCATAAGTTTTTGCGCTGCATTTTACAACAGAATGTCATATAGAACTGTGAAAAATATCAACCTTTATCCTTTTCTGACCTGAGCGAAAACAACTCTGCGGGATCACCCCTAGCGCAGGAATCCATTTTGGTCTACTTTAAGGTCAGAAATCATTGCGACTTTTACTTACTTTAAACTTTTATTGGATGCTAAAAGACAGCTGAACGAGTGTTGATTCTACCACACCTCAAATGAATCGAACTCATATTTGGGTACTATTAACTCAAATTTGAAGAAGCGCAGGTCACTCATTTTTACTCAAATATGCAGGGGGTATTCAATATGTGCCGAATAATTATCTATGCCAAAAGCTGTGTGAAGCGTTGCGAGGAAGCGTTGTGCCGAACGTGTCGAAGTGTGGTAATTTCAGTATCCCATGAGTTTGGCAACACTGCAGTTGTGACTTTTGAGATCGTTTGTTTACAATTTCAAGCTCTCATGGACGGTGCAAAACGCGAATGACGATACCACTTATTTCAAGATTTTTGGCCTATTCGTACGGCCCCCGGAACAGAACTAAACCAGGCTAGCAAAGGCGAACGCAAACCAAGTGATGGAAGAAAAAACGTCAAGACAGGGAGGACACCTATTATTAATATGCTAAAAAATGTAAATATATCATATCAATACGTGTGGGATGCATGCGTTATATAAAGACCGGAACGCGCAAAAATGGGTTGACAAAAAATCATTTCTTGCAATCAAAATTCATATCACAAAAATCTTCTTATTTTTCTTTTGGTAAAAAAGTTCGTTTATTCTTTTAGTTTGCCAAATCCGAACTGCCGTGCCTTCCGCTTAACCCCTTCCATTAAATTTTGCACAGTGGTATCAACTACCTTATTCGCCGCCGAACGCTAGTTAGATTTAAACTGCTGCTCGTTTTCCATGGATTTATTAGTTTTTTTTAGACTCCGTTTGACCAAGGCCCAATACCGTTCGATAGGGTGGAGTTCTGAGCTGTTGGGAGGGTTGTGGTCTTTGGGTACCACAACCACGTTGTTCGCATCGTACCACTCGATTGCCTTTTTACCCATAGTGGCAGCTCGCCAAGTCCGGCCAGAACAGCACAGGTTTATTATCTTGCTTTAGGAATGGTAGCAGCCGCTTTTCCAGGCACTCCTGGACGTGAATCTCTTGATTTATGGTGCAGTAATGAAAATGTTGCTTTTTACACCACACCTGCATATGGCCTGCCAGACGAGATATTTTTTTTCGGAAACTTCGATAGTTTGATGGTTTTGAAAATTTCAGCCACCTTCCCTTTTCCTGATGCGGTATAAAACTCCTGTCCCGGAAGCTGCTTGAAATCCGCCTTCACATAAGTTTCGTCGTCCATGACTGTGTCAGTCGAACTTTGTGAGCAGATTCGTATACAGCTTTCGGGACCGCTGCTTTGCCGACGTGGTTTGTTTGTAATCTCGGTTCGCCACCTTCACCTTCTTAAACGTCGATAACCCGGCTAGTTTCTTGGCCCGCTGCACAGTAGTATGGGAGACATTGAGCTTGCCAGTGACGTCCCGGATGGAGAGGTTAGGATTCCGCTTATATTTCACCGCCACCTTCTTCGTCGTCGCTGCCACGTCCGGATTACGATTGCCGCCGCTTCCAGGCTTCCTGGCGGTCGACAGACGCTCCCCCGAACACTTTTAAAACGTTTGTCACGGTCGATTTGGCCACATCCAGCAGACACGCTGCTCCTCTTGCTTGGACGTCATTTTGAAAACTGCAGGGCTGTTACAACAGGCGCGGATTTCGCGAATTTCGCGGATTTCGCGATTTCCGCGGATTTGAACTTTCAGTCGCGAAAATCGTGGAAACATTAAATGATGTCGCGAAAATCGCGAAGGGACTGATGTGCTGTCGCAAAAATTGTGGAATTCATTGTAACATTTCCGCCCGGATTATAATTCCCCGAGGTCCGTCCAATGTGAGACATTCTCTTTTTTCCAATATGAACATAGCAATTTTCGTTGTCAAATCATAAACGAATCGTTCAGTTGATTTGTTCTACTACATCAACCAAGACTCCAATAATGTCTGTAGTATCGAAATATGTCCAAACAGATTCAAAATGTCTTTGTGGATTGTAGCCGACATATTGACGTATACAAGATGTTATAGGTTCTGAAATCATTCTGGAGATCAGATTATTTTTCTAGATCACCCAATATCTGTAGTATTGGAGATAATTAAATATTATCCATATAGACACTATGAATCTGTTTGGACATATTTCGATACTACAGACTTTATCCCAGTCATGGCTGACCTAGTAGAATAAATCATCTGAACTCCAGAACGATTTGGAGAACCTAAAACATCTGGTATACATGACAAAAGGTCATGCATGATCCACATAGACTCTGTGCATCTGTTTGGAAATATTTCGATACTAAAAACATTGTCCCAATCTCGGTAGATCTAGTAGATCAAATCATCTGAACTCCAGGACGATTTGAAGAACATACAACATCTGGATTACTCGGAAATAGATGATGATGCATGATCCACATAGACACTTTCAATCTGATTGTACATTTTTCAAACAAATCAACTGATGTCCTGGACGATTTGGAAAACCTATAATTTTCGGTATAGGTACATAGTAATAAGTCGTACATGATCCACAAAGTCACATATATACAATTCGAATATGATTTGACACCGAAAAGTGCTAGGTTCGTATTAGAAATAAAACAAATATGACAATGTCTCACCATTGGACAGAACCCAAGGAATATCCGTGTAAATACACAACCGCGACGTGACCAACAAGTGTGAATGAATCTCCGATGATCTGATTCCTATAAAACATTAGCTGTAGATTATTCACTCTCCATACTAATCCGGATCTTTTGATCGAATCCAGATCTGATAGCCCATCTCTAGTATTGACCTGAACTGACGGATAGTTATTTTTCACTTGGGAAAAACAAACCTTAGCAACGGGTAAATCGATTAGAAAAACTTCATCGCTTAACGGTGTTGACGTTTTATATAATATTGTTCGTAACATACTTGTCAACATGTCCCTTAACGTGCCGTTTTGGCACAGTGTGCAGAGTTGATTACCCCTTGCAAATATGAGTGACATTTACTCATATTTAAGTAAACACGTATTTATTCTATTTACGAATTTTAGTTAACGGTTCTCAAATATTACTTAATCTTCTTCTTCTTCGCATTTCAAGCTTATTACTTATTGCATATTGTTTAGCTTATTGCGTGCTCTCAACTTAGTGTTATAGATGCCTTTGAACAGTTATTCATTGAGTGCTTTCGATACCTGTAATATTTTTACATTAGTATAATTGTGTGGCAAGTACAATCATACTCTAAGCCCAGGGAAGTCGAGAAATTTTCCAACCCGAATAATTGCTAGGCCAGACCGGGAATCTAGCCCAGCTACCACCAGCATGGTTTTGCTTTGTAGCTGCGCCATTATCGACTGAGCTAAGGGAGAGATATGAGTTAGATTCATTTGCCGTGCAAGCAGATATCTGCTAATGGACTCGGAACTGACATCAGCCTCAGTATAACCATAAAAGTAACTCTAAGACCAGAAGGTCCCGAAGAAACGTGCTCAACTTTTTGGCTCAGCTCTGGTACTATCTTCGGTCCCAAGCTAATCAATCTACCCCTCGAAATATAGGAAAATCCACGAACCCCTCATTTGATCTGTCAAACTTTCATAGTTAATCTATTTGCTTGGGACCAATAGGCTAGTCAAGTAGTGAGTCAATTAAAAATCGTTAGTTTCCACCGGTTGGTATAACGAAACAGGTCAGAAACTGAAAGAATATGAAAAACGTTCTCACCGACTGAACGATAAGATCTAAAACCAGATTCTCCCATTAGGATTGATTTGATCCACTAAACCATAGTAATTATCTCTATCTCAATAACAGTATGGATTGGAGAAAAAAAAATCATGAAAAGAACGATAAATATGCAAAATATATACTAAACCCTCACTTGAGGTTAATTCTTTTCATTTTTAGTTGTGTAGAAGTATTTGTTGGAACAAAATGATTAGTTTTGAAACATGTGCCAATATCACTTAAGTGAAATTCAGTAATACTTGAAACAAGATTATTTTCCTGGTGGAGTTTTAAAATGTCCAACTCTTTCTCGGATTTTCCTGGTTGACTTGCCACCAGCAACTGCTTTTGATCGTATTGGTAAAAGTAATTCATTCTCCATCAAACCACGCCACGTCAACTCTTCCATTTGCACCGCACCACGTAATCAAGCAGCAAAAATAGATGTATGGTACCAATCTAGGATAAACACGTTCAGTCGTTAGTGTGTCGCTGCTGAACACTCTCCAGCACACACGTTGGTGCTTTGTTCTCAGAAGGGACCAATTGATTCGCCACTTGTAGTTTATTTGATCGTTGGGTGTGTAAATTTGATTCCATTAAGTAGTGCCAGTCTCTTTGTGCCAGCTTTGTGTAGCAGTTTTGTCTTGCTTGTAGTTTAAGATTTGGATTATTTTATAAAAAAAACTTCATTCATCTTTCAGTCCGAACGAAATGGCCAAACTGATCGACGGAAAGCAAATTGCGGCCGACATTCGCGAGGAGCTGCGGGAGCTGATCGCAGAATGGATGAAACAGGGCCCGAATCGTGCTCCTCAGTTGACGGCTATCTTGATCGGAGAGGATCCTGCCAGTAACACCTATGTTTCAAACAAGATGAAGGTAAGGTTACGAAATTGTAAAATAGCCCAAAGTTGTAATATACTTAAATTCCCGGTTGTACAATTTTAACTAAAGGCCGCAGCCGACGTCGGCATCAGTAGCAAAACGGAACGCTACGGAGCGGATATAACAGAGGAGCAACTGTTGAAGCGGATCGAAGAGTTAAACAATGATGACTCGGTAGATGGCATTCTAGTGCAGCTGCCGGTTCCGGGTCACATCAACGAACGCAAAGTGTGCAATTCCGTGTCCTGCGACAAGGACGTGGATGGTTTCAACGAGCGCAACATTGGACGGCTCTGTCTGGATATGAACACTCTGATTCCGTGTACTCCGCTGGGCGTACAGGAACTGATCAAACGAACCGAAATCGAGACGTTCGGTAAGAACGCGGTGGTTGTGGGTCGTTCCAAAAACGTCGGCATGCCAATTGCGATGTTGCTGCATGCAGATGGACGGAACGACACTTGCGCCATGGATGCTACGGTTACGATCTGCCACAGGTTTACTCCGCAGGAGGAGTTGACCCGTTTCTGTCGATCGGCGGACATAATCGTCACGGCCACTGGCGTACCTGGACTGATCAAAGCCGACATGGTTAAAGAAGGGGCAGCAATCATCGATGTTGGAATTACCCGCGTGCAGGATCCCGTCACTGGCAGGAACAAACTGGTGGGAGACGTGGACTTTGACGGTAAGGATATAGTTTTTAAAACACAGGTAGATAATAAATTGTTTCTTACCTTTTTCTTTATTTTTGCAGAGGTCCGCAAAGTGGCAGGCCACATTACTCCAGTGCCGGGCGGTGTCGGTCCTATGACCGTCGCAATGCTGATGAAAAATACGTTTATTGCAGCGAAGAATTTGGCTCAAAAGAAGCGAGCAGGAAACGTGTGAGGAACATAAGCCATGAGGACAATAAATCGGTAGGAATAAGGCAAGGAAAGAGTACAAGTGAAGAGACCCAGCCAACATTGGAAGCAGAATGAGAGCTTGTTCGGGGCAAATATGCCACTTTAACTAAAATATGGCTTAATTGGCCTTTAATTGGCTCAAACTGTTGGTCGGGGAGGCAGATAATCTTATATATTTCGTTTATAAGCCAGTATTTTCGAGAGGTGTTTCATTTTTATTCAGATCATATTATGATAAAAAAATATCGTAAAAAGAACAACGCCAAAGCGGCAGTTGTTATTTTAAATAAGACAATGGATCTGTTGAAATATAACTTAATACAACCAGAGTTGGGTACTAATGAGTTCGATGATGACATCTTCCAGGATTCATGCTGAATATCTTTCTTATGGCACAATTAGTGTTGGCAAAATCATCAATAAATTTTATATTTTTCCGCTCTCATACGGTTTCAATATCACGTGTGATAGTGGTTAGAATTATAGCTGATTGGTTTTGTTAGCTTGATACTCGTAGACACACGTCTAGATAGGCTTGCTTCTGTCGACAGCCGAGTGAACACATATCTAATTATAGCACACCCATAACACATGGCTAAATGCATCTTGGAATGGCATTTTTCAGCAAGAATAATCAATGATGCAGACTGATGCAAAATTTGAAATTTTCGTTCCACAGTGCTCACACGGTTTCAAATTGGGTCCTGATTAGCCTCCCAAAATTTGAACTCATTTAGTAAGAACCTGACGTGGCACAAACCATTTGAAGTTTATATGGAAATTACTATGGGGAAACCATAATTTCGGTTCATATCTATCTCAAAATTTACCAGCAAATGATACCTGAGCTTGCTGAAAATTTTCTCAGCTACAACTTTGTTGAAGACCACTTTTCGATCAAATGTAAGGAACACAAATGATTAATGATTCAAGTCACTGATGTCTTATGATTATGCTCAATCAACTGTTCAGCAGGCAACATTGGTGTTTATGGCGCGTAGAATAGAGGACAAGAATCATGGCTACTATGTCACACTGCAGAATACAGTGCTACCCACAAAACAGTATCTTGCCATAAGATTATCAATCTCGTAAACAATTAATAACTATATAATTTGACGTTTGGCTGAGAAACGATTTTCTGCAAAGTTGTTGCTGATAAAAATTCCCATAAGAATAGCAATAGAACATGCTAACAGTACAATACGGAAGAAGGCTAGAAGACAATGAACAAAAAGTTTTGTTTTCCCATAGTAATTTCCATATAAACTTCAAATGGTTTGTGCCAAGTCATTTTCTTATCAAATGAGTTTAAACTTTCGGAGGCCAATCAGGACCCGATTTGAAACCGTTTGAACACTGTGGAGCGCAAATTTCAAATTTTGCATCAGTCTAATAATCATTGAGTGATTCTGTTAAATGATTAAACGTAAGTTTTCGTTATGTTTACTTACGATATCAGCTATTTCATTGATTTTAGATGTTGTCAATAATCGAAGCAAAATATACGCAGCAGCTGTTTTATATTTTTATATGCAACGTTGCATAAATTCAGGCGTTATCGCCATAGACAATGTTTTAATGTGGGCTTTGACGGACCTTTTAAGAACCTTTAAAGTTGCTAAGAAGTGCCGCTGGGAACTTGCTCGGAACTTTGTTGCGGCCATGTTTTCAGCCTTGCCTGAAGTTCCTAAGAAGTGGTTAGGGATGCTTTTTGGAGCTTTTTTTTTACTGCAAGTTGCTAAGAGCACCCATCGGAACTTTTTGGCGCCTGAAGTTCCTCGTGTGCTTTCTATAGCTTCTAAAGTAGCCAGAAAGTTCTGGCACTTAACGAAACTTGAAAGTGGATTGTAGAATGTGGAACTTTTGGTTGCTTGGGATAGAAGGTTCCGTCAGAGCTTGAAAGTTTGGTTCGAATTTTATTTGAACTTTATGGAATCTGAAAGTGACTTTTATCGTTGAATGCGGAACTTTTGGTTCCTTTTGACAGGACAGCTCTGATGGTAAAAGCATCTCGATCGTTGCTCCTACCAATACACCTCCTCAACGATCTCCAGTGGTCAATCCCAGCATAGCAGAGAACTTCCGAAGCTTCACCTGTCCAAGCGCCTTGGTGAGTATATCCGCAACCATTTCTTCGGTAGAGCAATACAACAGTTCCAATACCTTTACATCGCACAACTCCTTCACGAAACACTGCTGAGTCTCAATGAGTCTCGAACGCTTGGTTGTCCGTTCCGAAACAATGAACTTAATGCAGCTCTGTTTGCCACAGCGTCACTGGCTTGCAGGACGTTTCACCGAAGTCGTCGAACAAAATCAGAAGCCAAACAACCTCTTGGCTCGCCTCGCTGAAAGCCACGTATTCCGATTCCATCGAAGATAATATGATGAAATTCTGTAGACGGCTTGTCCACGAAATGGGTCCTCCTGCGTACATGAAAACGATACCGGTCGTCGACTTTCGAGTTTTTAAGTCACCCGCTCAGTCCGCATCTGAGTATCCAGTCAACTTGCCGTCAGGATACACGTTTAGCCGCTACCCGAGCCGGAGAAAATACCTTATGGATACCAAATTCAGGTATAAAATAGCATAGCTTGCAACCTAAATATGGTATTGACGAGGCTGACAAATGATCTACGAATAACAAACTAATAACTAATTTAATTATTATAATAACTGACGGATAACAGACGCTTTTTATGCCAGAATACCATAACTCGCTATTTGAAAGGTCTTCTAATACCAATACAATAACTCTGATCACATTTTGTTATTTTGATATTTATTTGATATTTTAAAAAATGTTTAGATAACTGAATAATATCAAAATAAGGTTTTATACCACAAGCATACCAAAATAAGGTACCGTACCACATTAAGATATTCATATGTTATCGGTTCCTGATGGGGTATCCAATGCACACGCATCTTCCCAAAATTGACACACTAGCAGCTATGTCCGGTCTTGCGCAGACGGCGATGTACAACAGTGTTCCAACTGAACTCCGGTATTGCGTGTTCGTTCGAGTGGAGGACTGTCCTCCCTGGTTTTGACGAATCTATCCTTCATCGGGGTTTTCGCACGTTTGGCGTCACCCAGGCCAAATCTCTCAACAACTCGTTCTATGTAGCTTTCCAGCAAAATGCCGTTCAAAATATCGTCGACGTAGACAAGCAAGTACATCAGCTCGGCTTTGTTTGAAATTCAGATCTTCGCCGAGGGTTTCAGCCCGTAAATGCCCTCTTTCAACTTATGATTCTCCTTACCTTCAATCTAAAAACCGGTCGGTTGCCGCATGTAGATCAAAGTGCTTCAGTATAGGCTTCGTTTTGTCGCTATCGCCAGAAGCGTCCGCAAAGTGGTCTGCTTTATAACAGGTGCGAAGACCTCGTCATAGTCTTAACCATACTTTTAACAGAAACCTTGGGCGACCAATCGAGCTTTGTACTTAACAGCATCTTTAGCAGCATTCCGTTTTACCTTGTAAACCCACTTGCGCCCTACTGGCTTTAGCCCAGCAGAGGGGTTTACCAACTCCCACGTTCCGTTGTCTTCGTGAGATCGCAGCTCGTCAGTCATGGCTTTGCTCCGCTCAGCACTCTCAAAGCACAGCTTAAAGCTTCCTGAAGCGTTCTCGGCTCCATCTCCTCCTCTGGGGGAAGCGTGCCTGCCACGAAAATCTCTTCGATCAGACGACGTGGTGCTACACCCTTCGATGACCTCAAAGACCGCCTAGCGATTTCATCCATCGGGAAACCATGGAACGATGAATTACTATTATATCCGATCGTATTCTTCGTACTGTCCAACTCCGCTTCCTCTTCACTATCACTACTTTCAACTGCTTCGGGTATAGTAACCTCACCGATCTTATTCCCCTCAAGCGATATAATGACCTCTTCACTCTCTTTTTTTAGGAAACACTAACTATTCTTCTTCGGAAACTTCCTCTCGGCACCCGTGGGTAACCTCTTCTTCACGCACTTCCACAAACTTCGCATCACGGTTGCTCAGAATCGTATCGTTCTCGAGATTCAAGAAACGGTATGCCTTGCGTCCCTTCACTGCTTTCGGATCCAGCTTTCTTCGCGCAAATGAACATACGACAGCTCGTACGGTGTCTTCTCAAGGACAGACGACGGAAGACGATTATGCAGTTCACCGAGTTCAACGCTTCACCCCAGTACTTCTTCTCCAATCCGGCCTCCAGAAGCAAACACCGAATCTTTTCGACCTCATACTGGTTCTTCCTCTCCGCTTTTCCGTTCTGCTGCGGCGAATAGGGTGCTATTTGCTGCAGAATGATGCCGTTCTGAGCAAGAAACTTTTTGAACGACGTGCTTGCATATTCTCCTCCTCCATCCGTGCGGATCACCCGAGGAAAATGCCCGAACTGGTTCTTTACCATACTGCACTTTCCAATCCATTTCTGACTTCGCCTTCAACAAGTACATCACAGTGTAACCGCTGAAATCATCCACCTTAGTCACGTAGTGTGGCAACTTCCATCGGACCACCAACGTCCGAGTGCACCAGATCCGCTGATTACTTGCTCTAGGACTGCTTCGGAAACGAAATCCGGTTCATCTTCCCTTTCAAGCAAACTCCACTTACGCACTCTACAGTACACTTCTGCAATTTCAGGTTGAAACCCAAATCGTGTCGCACTATCTTTGTAATAGCCTCCGGATCGCGATGACCCAGCCTACGATGCCACAATCACAAATGCTCACAAAATTTAGGATGCTTCACAGTGGTCGGCAATGCTTGCTCCGGAAACTGCTTCAACCGATATAACCATAGAGGTAACTCTAAGACTAGAAGGTCCCGAAATAATGTGCTCAACTTTTTAGCTCAGCTCTGGTACTCTCTTCGGTCCCAAGCTAATCGATTCACCCCTCGAAAGATAGGAAAAACCAGATGTCGTTGCTTGTATATACAGTGTCTATAATCTTGTTCTGTACTGTGTAGTATCAACAATCAATACGAAACTACCGATTTTAAATTGGCTCACTACTTGACTAGCCTATTGGTCCCAAGCAAACGATTAACGTACCCCATTCTAGTCGAAATTCTAGTACTACGTTATGTTTGTTTTGATTCGCTATGAAAATTTGACAGATAAAATGAGGGGTTATTGGTTTTTCCTATGTTTCGAGGGGTGATTCGACAAGCTTGGGACCGAAGATAGTACCAGAGGTGAGCCAAAAAGTTGAGCACGTTTCTTCGGGACCTACTTGTCTTAGAGTTACCTCTATGGTAGTATTGTATTGTATGATAGACGATAACAAATAAAAAGTCAATAGTACGTATG